ATGAATTGACCGATTTACTAAATTTGATTATTAAACCATTATCCCCGGATGCTAATTTTAATCAAATTATTGATGATCTATCGAAAGGTTCTCGATTATGCTTAGATGTTACAAAAACTTATCATTTAGATCGAATTCAAGCAGTTCAATCAATGTTATCAAGTCCATTTCGTGAAGATGCTTGGTATTTAGTACATGAAATCGATTCAAATATATTTGGTAAATGTCGAATAATTTTAATACGTTTACGAATGTATTTTCTTCTGATGCATCAAATACTTACAAATGATATTAATCTTCAAATACAAACTTCAAGTTTACATTCATTAATAAGTAATAATAATAAACGACAAGATTCAAATTTATCAATATCAAATAATCTTAAACGTAGAAAAATTCTAGATTTCAAAGTGTAATTTTTATTTATGATAGAAAAAAATAGTTGAATTACGAATGAATAATCGATGAAGACAAGAACGAAAAAGAAAACACAAAAAAAAGTAAATTATGAACACAAAAACAGGAAAAGAAAAAAAGAGCGAAATTGAAAATTAGAAAATCATACCATACAAGATTCACACGATTCAAAAACGCATCAGCAACCGTCGATTTTTCTTGCTCAGATTTCGAAATAGTATATAAAAAAAAAGGAAAAGAAAAGAAGAAGATAAAGAAGAAGCAGTAGCAGCAGCAATACCTAATGAATAATTTTTTTCTCGAGTCAGTGTACAAACAAAAATTGATGGATAAATAATAAACTATTCTAACGTCGGTTGCTTATTAATTTAGGTCTTTGGCTATACCTTATTAATCTTCTAATCGGAACGAATAGAGTTTTCCTGAGAGAAAAGCAAAACTAAAGACATGGAAATATAATAATTCATGTTCGAACAAATAAAGATAAAACACACACATTCACACACACGGAAGAATCATTCAATTGATGTTCATTCACATAGAACAATCTGACATCCACTACACACATACATATGTTATTTATTGATAACGAGTTGAAAATCGCGTTGGTGGTTGTGGACGGCCATTATCCGACAGTGGTGAATCATGACCACCAGCTGAATCATTATCATCTTCCTCATCGCTATATTGCCTATTGAAAAAAACAGCAAAAGTCTTTAAAAAAATTAACGCTTATTTAATTTACCCCTGAATATTTCCAATTTTTTTCTTTGCAGCACTTTTTTGTTTAACTTGTTTAACGGAGGTTCGATTACGTTGAACAACTTGTGCTTGTGAATTCAAACGATTTTGTTGTAAAATAACATTTTGTGTTGAACCAAAACCTGAATTCGGACTAATTGAACCTGGTGTTGCATAATCAGCTAATATACCTGATGATGATAATGATTGTGATGGACGAATGGGTGTTGTCATAACAAGATCATTCAAAGATGATGAACCCCAATTACGATTATGTTCATTGTTATTATTTAAATTTTCATTATCACTATAAGCCCGATTTGTATCATTATGTCGTTTATCATTAGTTGATATCATCGGTGGTGATACAAGATGACGTAAAGTTGAATTTGTTGTTGTATTTTCATCATTCGATATATGTGGAAAACCCATTGATGAATAACGCATTTGATATTCATTTGTATTTTGTGATAAATTTTGACGACGATTTGCTGTTGATTTTGAAAAATCATATGCTGTTGACGAATTCGTATTATCATGAATATAATTATCATTTTTGTGGATATCAAGATTATTATAGAGTGCATCAATTTGATCAATAGTCTCATTAAAACCAGTTCTATTATTATTTGGATTTATATTATTTGATTGTCGATAATAACGATGAACTATTTGATTAAGTTTATCAAAATTATCATTATTTAATTGTTGATAATTATTCTGTTGTCTAGTACGATAATGTGATGGAAGTTTGGATGTAACTTGTTCATTATTTTTATAACGTCGTGTGTGTGTTGAGGGTGTATTTGATGATTGAGAATTTTGATTTATATTCATACCAGTAGCAGCACTTGATTGTTCATCACTTGAATAATTTGTATTAAGACCTTGTGAACGTAATTCATCAGCACTAAAATAACCTGATGAACGATTTAATGAACGATCCGATGAATGAAAATCACTATTAATAACGACAGTATTTCCTGGTCGTGCAGCTATATTTTGAATTGACACTCGACCATCTTTTGATGTTGTTACAATGGCCCGTGATGGTTGATCAAGTGCAACAACTGTTGGTTGTTCAGGTAATTGTGGCGGACGTTTTTCAATTTCAATTTCAAATTCTATATTAGGACCGAGTAGATTACCAAGACTACCTGTACGACGTTTTATTTGTCGACGATATGCTGATTTTGTATAGGGAGAAGAAGAATATTGATCTTGTTCTTGTTGCTGTTGTCGATCTTGTTCGTGTAAAACTGAATGATATGATGATGAACGTGCATGAGCACCTAATGAAGATGAATATTCATTCGTAGTATCGTATGGACCTAAGAAGAAAAAGAAACTTCTCTTTTTAGGAGCAGAAAGTAATTCTTGTTGAGATGAATATTAAAAAAAAAAGAAAGATCATTAGTATACGCAAAAGCTTAAAGAATAAACAGATGTTTTTATTTTGCTTGCACCCAATAAGAGTGTAGCACAAGAAAATAAAACACGAACCTGAAGTTGCTAATAGGAATAATATGAATTTTAAATACGAAAATAAATTATATACAAAATAAAATTCGAGAATAGTTTTCTTTTTTTTTCTATGTAAACATACTTATTCGTGATCGACTTTGTCTTTGTTGATAATCTTGATTTATTGTTGATGGACGATAACTTGTTGAATTAATACGTTCATAATGTAATTTTGAACGTTGTTGTTCTTCTTGTTTTATTCGTGCATTAAGTTCAGGTTCACTTGTTCCATGTTTTATTGTTGAAGGACTTGATTTCATACCAACACCATTAGATAATTCTGGTACACGAACAATCGCAATTATTTCATTTGGTGTATATTTACCAAATGTAACTTGACTTTGTGGACTTAATGATGTTATTTCCATAGTACGTGGTGGACCAGAACTTAATGTACGAACATTTGAACGTGATGATGAACCTTGTAATAAACTATCTTGTGAACGATCACGTTGTATTGGTTTAAACCATGTTTCTTCAATACGAACGGGTTCTTCTTCTTGTATTCTTGTTGTTGTTGTCATCGTTGTTGTTATTGGTGGTGGTGGTATTGGATAGGATATACTATCGGATTGAGGTGAATCATAACGATGTTGATGAATACCACTTTCACGATATGTTTGTGTTTGTTGACGAATTTCATTTGTTGGTGTATACGTTGATTCAGGTGGTGAACGAATTGCTATTGGTGAAGTTTGAAAAAAAAATAAAATAAAGATATTTTTCTTAAAAGAAAAGAAAATTTTTTACTATTAGATTTTGTTGAATCATAATAATGTGTACGTTCATTTAATAGAGCTCGTTTTGATGGTGTTATTGTACGTGATGCTTCATCGGATGAACATTCAGGTGAACGTACCATTGGAGCAGCTGTTGTTGTTGTAGTTGTTGTTGTTGTTGTAATAACTGTTTTTGGTGCACCTGGACTACCGGTTTGTCCAGTTTTAGTTGTTGATTCTTTAATTTCATGTGTACGTTGTACTTGACATTCAACACGTGTTTCAGTTTCGATTGTTTCAATTTCATCAACAACTAATGGTTTTGTCATAATTGTACGTGATTGTGTTGTTATAGGAACTTTTCGTTGCGAACTTAATCCACTATGATAGTTAGCAATATTTTCATAATCTGATGGTGGTGTACTTGTTACTTGACGTCGAATATTACGTGGTTGTTGTTTTTGTTGATTAAATTGATCGGTGGAAATAATTTCGGTATCATATTTATATAATGATCGTGAAACTGAGTCATCTCCACCATGAATTGTTGTTTGATCAGTGTCAGAAGTTTGTCGTCGACCATAACGTGAACTTAATGTTGCTGATACTGAATCACCATAAATGCCACTATCACGTATTGTTGGTGTACGATTAACATCATCAATAATTGATGATGATGCATTATTACGCCATGATGATGAACTTGTCGGTAAACGTTGACTTGTAGCTGTAGAATATTCAAACATACCTGAATCTGAACCCATACTGGATTTATATGGATCACGTATTGGTTTTGTTGTTGTACTTGTTATTGGAATTTCATGAGATATATGTGGAGAAAGTTCGATTAAAAGACCTTTACCTAAACAAGAAGAAAGAAGCTATTAGCACAATCTCTATAGAATTAAAATATAAAACACGATGCAGCTGCTCTTGCTAATGTTTTATTCTATCTGTTTTGGGACATGTTTATTTGCCATGATATTAATTAATTCACCAGAAACGTAATAAGAAAGTAGTTCATATATTATAGCGAGACATTATTGATATATGATCTTTGATCGTATATCAACAACGTCTGTAATGTATCGTTGCTAACAAGGGAATTATTTGAACTCATATTGAATGTACAAAGAGATCTTAAGTAAGACTAAACAAGTCCTAAAATGAATCGTACCGATCAGTCTAACGAACACAGTTATGATCATTCAATTGAGTTTTTGACTCCTTTTTTTAAATATTTATAGAAGAATTAAGTAATAGAATTTCAATATGAAATTCAACCTATAGACAGGTCTAATGATCCTTAGAATATCTTAAATATTTTTTTTTGTTGATATATTAAATTTCCAAAAGAGATGCTCGTTTGCCACAAAAATCGAATTTACTTGAACATTGAATACTTTGACAAAGGAATACTTTGTTCGATTGAAACTTTAAAGATATTCTACCAGTCATTTGACATGTCTATGAGTCAAATTTCAGATCAAAATACCATTAATTGATCTTTCGGTAAATATCTTAAGTTGACTGGAAAATTCAGTAAAACAGTCATAATTTGGCTCCAGAGACCTGTGAGCATGAAGTGTTTACGATTTTTCTAGTCTTACCAAGATTTTGTGAACTCACACGGCAGATATCAGTCCGGATAGTTCTCTCGTAAGATACCTATCATCGTCTGAGTAAAAGGAAGGAGTACGAATTTCCACTCTAGATGCTACAAAATAATATATTGAACAAACCTTTGCTTGTTGGTACATGTGAAAGAATATTTTCCATATTTGTTTCATTAAATGATGATTTATTTCGTTGACTAATATATGTTGCATCATCTAATGGTTGTGTTGTACTTTGTGAGAAATCTCTAAGACGTGTTTTTGGTGTACGTCGTCTTATATCATATTGTTGTCCTTGTTTATTTGTTGGATCACTTAATTCATCTTCACTTTCATGACCAGCATCTTCATCAAGTTTTTGTTTTGTTGATTTAGGTGTACTTTGATAAATAGGTGGTGATGCACCACTTAAATCTGAATCAATTGATGATATTATTCGTTTATCTTTTATTGTTAAATCTGTTGATGTTTGTGGAGGTGGTAATTGTTCAGTTGTTTTGGTCATTGATGATTCTAATGATGATTTAATTGCATCAAATCCTGGACGACTAAGACGATCTGTTGGTTGTACACGAGATGTTGATTTTGATTCAGCACCTTCAATACGTGATATATGTTCTGTGACACGTGATGGAGCTGTATGTGTTTCACTTATACGACGTTCATTTGTATCAAAGTCATCAATCTATTAAAATTTATATAAAAAGAAAATTTTCCATAACTAAATATATCTTTAAAATTCTATTTTTTCGTGCATTGATTTCGCTATTGTAGGTTGAATGTGAGAGATTTTCTATTATTAAAAAGAATTCACCATATGTTTAGTAAAGTGTAATAATAAACCAATGAGACAATAATCTCGTGATATATATTCTTACCTGAAAGATAGATAGTTTTTGATTAAAAACTACATATTTTTCTTTCTTATATATCATTTCTCATTAAAATTTGTCGTGATCAAATGATGTGTCTATATGTATGTGAAGCTCACTACTCAATCTTTGTCTTCGGTGTCGTGTGTATATGATGGATTAGTTCGTGAACAACTACAATCGTACAACTCATGTCTTCTCCTCTTTTTTCTCTCTTTTCGTTGAAAATGATTAAGTCAGATACAGATAAATGAAGTGATTCTATAGTTGTCAAGAAATAACGACAACAAAAACAACAACAACGAAAAAAAACGAAACCATCACCAAAGAAGTATTATTGGAATACATACGAGATATGTTTGTCGTCGACCACTGATACGATACACTCGTCTGTGTGGTACGACGATTGTTGGTGTAGGTTGCTGCTGTAAAAATGATGATTGTTCAAATTATAATCTTTTGAGTAAATTGATTTTACTCCTCCCGTTCTGATTAGTATAGAAAAAAAGGAAAAGGGGAAGCAAACCAGATATATAGATGCGCACACAGACACTCCAGAAAGATAAGCAATTATTGACCCAAGGAGAGCTGAGTGTATTAACTGAAGAATTATTTAAAAAAAGTTAAGATGTTTTTTTTCCTTACCGGTCGACGATTTGTTGATGTCCATCCTTTATTGATTTGATCTTGTTCTTCAAATATTCGTCGTCGCTCTGTTAAACTAGTAGATATTGGTATTTCAGATTTTGATAAGTCATTTTTTATAGTTCCATTTGTTGATGATTCAAATGTATTTCTTAATTCTCCGACACGACTACATGTTGATCGATCAATTCGATTTATTATTGAATCAATTGTACTATCAAATTGTTGTTGTTCAAATCTTGATCGACGTTCATCAATAATTGATGATGATGATGATCGTTTTGGTGGTTGTGGACGATCATCATCGGTACGCGATGTTGAAGTAATTTTCTTAATTGTTTCACGTGATCGAATAGACTACAAAGATGAAAAACAATTTATTTATCTATTTTTTTAAAAATTTAATGAAAATTTTCATAAAAGAAGAAGAAGTTTGATTCCTAAAAAAAGATAAAAAAACTAAATCAATAAATCAATAAAGGTTAGTTAAACACGCGAGAAAAATAGAAGGATCGGTGTTGACATATCATGCAAACGTGCAAGAATAATCTCAGTATCTCAACTTACATCAACTAGTACCAATCTTTTATTTTCCTGTTCATCTTCATCCGATGATGAACGAAGATGATAAATTTGTTGATGTAACTGTTTATCTGGTGATAGCCCTCGAGATACACGAACAAGAATTTCTTTGACAGCATGTCGTGATGGGGGAGCTGTTTTTAATTTGTTTTGTTCAAATAATGTTTTATCATATCCAGATAGATTTATTGAATTATCTTTGAATTGTTGTTGAATATTTGTTGGTACAATAGATACTCGTTGTGCTGTATAATTGCCATTTATTGATTTTCCAAACTGTGATATAGGGAATTAGGGAAAATTAATAATAAATATATTTCTTTTATTTCTTTCTTTCTTTCACTCTCAACTTCTTATTCAAAGAAACTATGAATAATGAATAAAAATACTCTTATTTTTCTTTACCTGATCAAATTGATCATCATCTGATGTTGGTGTATAAATTTGCTTAAGTTTATTTCTCCAATTTGAATCTCGTTTTTGTCCAGCTTCATTAATTATTGTTGTTAAACCATGATATGTACGATCACCGGTGGTTACATATGGATCTGACATATCATCTTCTGACGATGCATATCGTTGTTGTTGTGTACTAATTACTGATGTTTGATATTGATTTGATGGTAAGCGACGATCAGCATGTTCTTGTTCAACTTCAACATGGTATTCTTCACTAACTGTTTCCTCACGTTGTTGTTGTTGTCGACGATCAGATATATGTGTTGATGGTGTTATTATATTTGATATATGATCATATGTTGATGATGGTGCCCTTGATATTATTGTTTGACTTGTTGATGGTATTGGTACATATTGACCTGGTCGTACACGATCATAAGTTGTTGATGATGATGATGGTGGTGTTGTTGAATCAAATTTTGTATCAAAACGTTCAGCATTTGCTACTGATTCAATATCACGTGCAAGTTTTGCATCATAAACTATTTCTGTTGTATAAACATCTTCCGAAGACCAATGACGATCTCGTGGTGTAATTTCTAAAAAGCAACAAAGTTTATTAAGTCAATATTTGCGTAGAAAAAAACATGCATATTTACCAGTAATTATTTGACGACTAGGTGATGATGTTGTTGTCGTTGGTATTGTTGAAATGAATGGTGGTGGTATTTCTTCATAAACAGGACTTTGTGGACGTTCCATAGAAACAATTGTTGTTTTTGTTGGATCAATTGTATGAGCTGGTACACGACGATAGACTTCTTTAATAACATCATAGCTTTTATGTCCTTTAATACGTTCATTTTTTTCTTTATATTCTTCTTTAATAACATCACTTTTAATACGTTCACCTGTTTGATCAATAGTTGAACGTAATAATTGATTTGTATTTTTATCATATTCATCTATACGACGACAACGAAATTCTTCACTCCATTCTTCAAAAACAACTTCTTCACTTGATGTTGATTTTTCATCTTCACTTACATGTTGAACAATAGTATCACGTATAAGAACTTCGGTTTTATTAAGATCATGTAATGGTACAGTTGAACTTGGTACTAATCGCGCACGCTCAAAATCAGGTACATGTTCAACAGGTAAATGTTTTGGTGGTAAATGATCAGATTGATCTCTTAAAGTTGTTGCTGCATAATGAAGTTTATCTGTTTCACTTGTATAAGGAATTCTAGTTGGTTGATCGGTTTTAAAATCAATAGTTTCTGTCATTATTGGTTGTTCAATAAAAGGACCGGGACGTGATGGAATAACTAAAACAAATCAATACATCATTGACTATGATTTTATTCAAATATTTAGGAAAATATTTCATTATAAATCAATGTCTTGTCCTTCTTATCGTTATGTATACAAATATTCTATTTGATTTATAGATCATCTTAGTCCGAGATATAAAGAATATGTACATATATGCATTTATTGAAAGAGAAACCATAGAAAACGATCGTCTCAGTGTTAGCATAGAAGAGAGAGAAAACAAAAAAAAACAACAGGGAGGAGTGAATACTTGAAAAATTTTCAATGATCGATGATGAAGTTATCATGCTTCGTTCAAGCTGTTGTTTCGTAACTTAATTGACTCATTATAATATATATATAGAGAGAGAATAATGTTTAATAAGCATTATTTTTTATTTAAAACAAAAAAACGGTTAATGCTTCAATCTTACTTCGATATTCTAAAGTTAATCTAATAGTTCTACCAGATGATATTGAAGTATTTGCTTGTAGTTCAACTGTTTTTTTCATTGGTAAAGATGACATATTCATTATTTAATACAATAAAATTAACGAATAAGACTTATATGCGCAAAGCAAAAGCAAAATGAATACATAAATGTAGGAAATGTAATAACAACTGGCAGACGTTGTTCATGATTCCAGAAGGAGTATGAAATAAACGTGCATATATATTTTTATTATTATAACTAATACACGTATATGTTATAATAATAAAAAAATAACCACTCGTCGTCTCAAAATTTATTAACAGAATACAAGAAAGAGAAAAAAATCCAATATACGATGAATAGATAAAACTGTTATTGGTACCATTCAACGGTTGTTTCTTAAAATATGAAGAAGAATGACGATGTTGTATCGTCCTCAATAGTTTTTCATTTCCACACACCTATCGTTTGTTGATTACCTTTTATTTTTCTTTTTATTTCTGTGGAATTTAATAACAAGCGAGAAAAAGAACGAGATGGCGGTTGTTATGTTTGGCAAAGTTCAAAACTTTTTCTCTCGACCAGTCATAGTCAACACGAAGCTGTTTCACCTTCTCGTCTCTTGCTTCTCTCTATTTTTTCTCACTTAATCGAGAGCCATATACAAGCACACAAGAACTAAAATATCGTCCAAAGGAATAATGACGATATACGAACCATTGAAATTATTCTGATTCTCCCTTCTTTCCTTTTCTCTTTATTTTTTCATAGCATTACTCATTGCGTTTCTTGCACAAACATTGCTCAGTGACACTTCTACACTCACCGACAGGTCTATTAAAATATATTATCGCGTCTCTAGTATAGTGGGACGCAAGACCAATCACATCATCATAAGTATGGGCATATTATTTTTGTGTTGTTTTTATATATATGAAACAAAGGAAATAAAGGAAAGAAAAAAAAATGGTGCAAGAAAAAAAAACACACTTGTTTGGTTTGTCTCACATTCATTTATTTAATGATCAATTTTCAATCGCCTTGCTCAATGCTGCTTTACACAGAAAAGTATAAAACTCCTCATACATCTGTATTGTGTGGTTTTTTCTTTCAAGGAAGTTCTGACAGATATATTCGTAAATTCTATATACATGATGACCTTGGCTCTATGTGTATGTCATTTGAGCTGTTCCATTTTTCTTTTCTACAATATATACTTATAATGGAAGAAGAGGAACCTTGAGTTCTTACAATAATGATGCAAGGATCAAATCAAAGTAGAAAAAAGAAGTAGTAACCTTCAATCATATTCTTTTTCCGATTTGTCCACTTGATTTTAAAATTTAATTTGGTCAAAAACAACAAATCGCTTGAAAAAAAAATTTCATTTTAATCGATGTTCAATGTCATCGATGTTATTTTTAACCAATGAAATCAAATCGAATTTGACAACGTCATGTAATCCTTTCCTGTGCGAAACAACTACTGTCTTGTTTAATAGTAGTCAAAAAGGAAATTTAATACTTTCTCACTTTCCCTTAACAACATGATTTAACCGTGAATAGCATATCATAGCAGATAAAAATCTAACCTTCTTACGGATTATTTTGATGGCATAAACTCAAAGCAAATAACTAGACGTATGATCACGTATACAAAAAACAACACCATCGAATTATTCTCAATTTCAATAGGTGTCTGGATGATTATTATGAAAAATGAAACGAGTACTAATATGTCATGACTGGGTGTACTTAACAAAGAAAAGCGTCTAGGGAACAAGCTCAAGTGAAGTAAAAAAAAAAATAATAATAATAATAACAAGTTGAAGTTTATTTCATTCGTTATGTTTTACGATTTGGTATTTCGACCGCTATTCATACTTTTTCTTTATAACTTAACACTTGTATTATTCATCATCACCACTGATAAAGAAACCAAATACCTTACCTTCTTACTTGTCTTCTTTCAAAGAAAAAGAAAAAGGTCTGCTTGGAGAGGAAATCGACCAGTTAACGTCATGCAAGTTTATATCGAACTGAAAATGAGGACAACACGTTTGTTTCGTTCTTAGCTTACAAAAAAAGAAATTGATAAGCATGAAGAAATAAAAAAAAGAAAATCGATTTTTTTTTTCTTAAATAACAACAAACATATTTTTTTCTTTTAATAGGTTTTTATATTTTTTTTCTCATCTAAAAATACATACCAATAGGTATACTTTGATTTGTAAAAACACAATTCCACTAACAGTAATAGCGTATTATAGTAATAATGTTCTCGGCTTCGTTGAAAAGCTAACAACTCATACATACACATATATGCATATACATTTCTCTCTTTTTTTTCTTTCGAAAGTATATGCCGATCGCAAATATATAAACTATCGTCCTCATAACGATGTTTCGAATGATTATTATTACAACAACTATGACATAGAGGTATTATATTTTTTTTTCGAGATGAATCAGTGACGTGCACGAGTAAATGCCGAACATATACGTATAGATTTCTATGAAAAGTTTGTCTTACCTTTACGCATAGATGGTGTAGGCGTGGCTGTATGTATTGTGATATATTTCTGTTCAGGTAAATGTTCTAAATCATCAGTTTGTGTAGTTTGTCGAGCTCTATCAGGTGAATTGAATGATGGATGTAATGGTGTTGGTTCAATTGATGAACTTCTTGGTGAAATTCTTACTACTTTCGATTCATGTTCAATATATTCCTAGATATAGATATAATTACATCATAATTATAAATTAATTTATAATATTAATTTTTCTGCTGAAAAATCAACAGAAAATTTTTTTGTGTGTGTTAGTATGAGGTCCCACTGTCTTGCTTTCCTTTTAATGTTTTATAACCAAATGACCTTCTTAATTTGTATTACTTAGTCATTTTCTTTTCTTTTATATGTATATATATTCATATATATATAATATACAACACTACACTAACAAGGCTACTCGACCGTTGAATAAATTTCATATGTATAAAAAGATCACTATCGTTCCTATCGACTCTTAGTGACTGCTCTTTTCGAAATAAGATGAAAAAATAGAAGAACAAAAAAAAACAAAAAGAAATCGGATTGTGTCTCGACTCACCGATCAACTATAGATAGATAAGACAGACTACTTATTCTTTTACTACTTAATGTATGATGATGGAGAACAAGATATATGTTATTTGTCCGTTGGCATGAACAGTATGACCCTTTCACTCAGTTCATAGGTTACGAATATAATGATGTTGGCATTTAGATGGGTTCAATGTGTAGCAATAAACTATCATTGCTTCATCTTTCTTTTTTTATATATGCACGTGTGTTTGTTTGAACGAATAAAATTGAACGATGGACACTAATCGGGACGTGCATTCTTTTAATTGTTTCATTTCGTGATAGAATGATAGTCTATTAATATGTATGTGTATATGTTTTTATTTATTCTACAACACCTTACATTCGACTCATGACCTATTTGTTTTTTTTCTATCATTACTAAATCAAAATGTATTTATCGAACGAAAATTTACTACTAGCAAAAATTTCGAGACATAATATTTGTCAGGGTTTTTTTTTCATTATCTGTATGCTTAGAAGATGTTCGTTAAATATTATAAGAAGACTCAAGGTTTTTTTCTGTCATGTTTTTATAGATTAGATAAAGATGTACTACATGAAAATATACTATGATACAAATAACAGACCAGAAAAAAAAACCAAGAGTTTAAGATAAAAGAATGTTTTATTTGAGAACCTTTGCAATAAACATTCAAACTAATCTATTTTGTGATAGACTATTTCATAAAGAGAAGCAGAAGATAATATTAATAGTTAGTTGCTATATATAAAACTAAAAGATATCAGCAAACTAAATAGTGCAAATAATTATAAGCATGCAAAGTAATTAAATAAAAGCAATAGCGTGTTGATAGATTGATTAGTATAGAATAAAAGCGAGAAGCATTAACATGCAAATAAAAGACTAAGAGGTTCGAAGTTTCTTAGAATAATACTTTATGTCATACTACATTGATTGACTACGAATAATTTTATTTTGTTTGATGGTATAGATATACATGCATGTAGGCGTCCCTTTTTATTATTCTGCATTGGCATGTATTACCTCATTTTGTTTTATTATTGTTGTTGTTGATGGAATAACATCAGGTAAAATACTTGATGTCGAATGATCATCTTCATTTTCAATGATTATTGGTGGTTCAACAATAGCAGCATAAAGTGTTTCAGAAAATGGATTTAATGATTGAATATGGTAATGTTCGATATAAGATGGTTGTTCATATTTATATGATATACTTTTAAGATCTTCGTCATAATCATATTGATGATTTATTTGTGCAATTGAAAAAATATCTTGTTGATTAGTTATTTTATATTCATTTGATGATATATTATCATCATAATGAATAATCGGTAATAAAAAATTCGATGATGAAAAGTTTGAATATTGATTATGAAAACTTATTTGATAGATTAAAATTTCATTGACAATAGGTAAATGAAAATGTTCTGGTTCAAAAAGAATATTTAAAAATTCTTGTTGATATTCATTGAAATTATATAATAATATATTATTATTAGCGTCTTGTTCAAGTTCGTTTTCTTTTGCATGATGAATATGATTATCTTCGTGTTGACCGAAACCAATTGTTAATAAAAATTCTTTAGTAAGATTATATTTATTTTTTTTTTCACTTGCTAATGTATCAAGTAAATAATCAACAGGTACAGTAGGTATTATATCTGATGATTGTGATGGTAAAGTTGTTGTTATTGGTGTAGCTGTAATTATATGACCAACACCAATGCTAGTCGTCGTCGAAGTTGTGTCGTTATCTTTATCAAGTGAATCGGTTTCATAGTCACTTGTTGGTGAACAATGACTAACAATCATAGCTGCAGCTATAGGGTTATTTTCTTGTTCATTATTGATATTTATTGTATATACACTATTTGATATCTCGTCTTCGAACCTCTCATCAATAGAATAAGCATCATTAGCAATAGCAGCAGCAGCAGCAGCGGCAACAACAAAATCTGAACACTCAATATTAGTTTTCAACTCTACCTGTTGTTGTATAGTTTCAAGACTTTTTTCTACAATCAATTGTTCAACTAGTTGTTCATCATGTGGCAATATTGTTGGTTGTAACCATTCAATAGGTAATGAACGACTGAAAAATGGATGTTTTTGTTCATATCGTTCAATAGCACGTTGTGTGCTATCATTATTTGATTGTATTGATGTCGTATATGATAGAGAAACTTGATCAATTAATGGTAAATGTTGTTCGGGTTCAAGACTTTCTTCAAAACGATTTAAAAATGATTCCATATCAAGTATTGATGATGTTTCAGAATATGTTGGTCGTACACGAACTTCAATGTCAATTGTAACTGGTCGTTTTTCAAGATTTATTGGTTCATATGAAGTTGCATCTATTCGATCAATACGATTCGAATGAATTGATGATATTACAGAATAATCACATTCATCCTTTGATGATAGTTGTTGTTGTCGTACACGATAGATTGGTCTTGATTGATTGATTTGTGTTGAAGGTAAAAGAGAAATTTTATCGCAACTTTGTATACGAACATTTTCATGTAATAAAGGTACTTGATGAAACTCACTAACGTAATTATCAGATTCCTTTATTGTACATTCATTAGCTGCGGGTGTTATTAATGGTAAATATCGTGGTGATGGTTGATCAGATTGATACTGACCGTGTTGTTGTAACTGTTGGTATTGATTAGAAAATTGTTGATCAAAAACTTGTTCCCATGAGGAACTTTGTTCTTGATTATGATGTGCATAGTTTAGAGTTAAAAATGCAGTAGAACGAAGAGGAATTTCAGGTGTAATCGATTCATCGATATGTATATTTGATTCTGGTTGATGTCGTATTAGAAGTGAACCATCGGATAAATTCGATGGTTTTTCAGTTTGAATTTGTAAATTTTGTTGAAACTGTTGATATGGATCGAAAAAATTTCGATCAGAAACTTGTTGCCATGATGGATTTGATTCTTGATTATGATAAGCGTAGTTTAGAGGTGTAGTAAGAAGAGGTTGTTCTGAAAGTATTGATTTTGGTTGAAATGGTATAAGTTGTGAACCATCAGATAATTGTGATGGTTGTTCAGTTTGAATTTGTAAATGTTGTTGTAAATGTTGATATTGATCGAAAAAATTTCGATCAGAAACTTGTTGCCATGATGGATTTGATTCTTGATTATGATGAGCATAGTTTAGAGGAGTAGTAAGAAGAGATTGTTCTGAAAGTATTGATTTTGGTTGATGTTGTATAAGTTGCGAACTATCAGATAATTTTGATGGTTGTTCAGTTTGAATTTGTAAATGTTGTTGTAAATGTTGATATTGATCAGAAAATTCTTGATCAAAAACTCGTTGCCATGGTAGATTTAATTCTTGATTATGATGTGGATAATTTAGAGTTACAAAAGATGTCGAACGAAGAGGTTTTTCTAAAGTAGTTGCTTCATCAAAATTTACGTTTGATTTTTGTTGATGTTGAGTTAAAAGTGAATCATCTGATAATGATGATATGTGTTCATCATTTATTTCTAGATGATGATTAATAGGACGACATAAAATTTCTTGATTAGTTTTTTTTGAATATTCAAATTTATTATTTGTTTCAAGTCGTTCAATAGAACGATCACGTTGAATAGATTTTGTTTCAATTTGTTGTGTTATTTCTTGATTATTATTTTCAATATGTTCATAACGTTCACGTGATAAGATTGATTTTGGTTTAGTTATTTTAGCTTGTTCATATTGAACTGTTGATAGATATTGTACTTGTGCATTTTCTATGTTAGATTGAATTACATTTGAAATAGGTTTAAGTTTTTCATCTTTCCAATCAGTATCATACACAACAATTGGTACACGATTATTTTCTTCAATTTTTTGAAAAAGTTTTTGATAATGATCACTTTGAATTATTTGTGTAGCATGCTGTTCTTCTAGAGCAGTAGCAGCAGTAGCCAGCTCTTCGAGCTGCAAAGCTTGGAGACTTGGCTCAGTAAGCTAGAAGAATATATATGATGCATATATTGAATTTGGTGAATATGTAAAAGACATTTTTAATATGGATTAAAAAAGTAAGCACGTATATTTTGAATGAATATGTATATACAACATCGAAAGCAAGAAAATAAGCTGCGATATAAATGTGAAATAACATTTGTAGCTTTTTCTTTTTTTTTGTTTATGAGACCTTCACCATATGCTACGTCTTTACATTGTTTGTCATATAACAAATATCTAATCGAGCATTTATCCAGCTATTTTTTTTCTATAGACTTACCGTTTTAGGAGCATTCAATTTTTGAACTGATTCAGTAAATGAAGCACGACCATGTGAAACATCAGTTACCCAAGATGTTTCGAGTTGTACAGCCATTGGTTCTGCATCAATATCCTTTTATAACAAAACAAAAAAGGCATCTATCTTATTAGTTATCTATGTTAAATTAAATCTATATCCCGAAAAAATGCCCCCAGTTTTTGTTTTCTAAAACAAGCGATATTGTGTATTATAAAGAAATGAGAAAAAGAAAATTATCATTTTCTTTATAAACACAATTTCTAGCTTTGTTTTATTTTGACTTAATATTGAAGCGAAATCTGTGCAATAAAAATAAAAATAATTTTTTTAAATGCATTACCACAGATATATGTTCTTGATCATGATGTGTTTGTACTGGTGGATGATGATATAATGGTCGTGTTACATCGTCAAGAGGTGCAATATCATAATAATCATATCTAATTGTAGCTGAATCATGTGGTTGTAGTTTTAAGTCTTTGTCAGAACCAAATGACGATGTTCGAGATAATGGAACTTCATTTCGTTCACCTATATTAATAAATAAATAACTAGTTAAATATATATGATTAAGAAAATTTGCTTGATGATCAAAAACAATAATAATAATGATAATAATTTTCTATTTTGGATTAAACAAAAATCTTGCAAAGCAGAGCGACTCACGTAAAAATGAACAGGGTACAGTAATACAGACATCAATAGTTGGCATTTCTATCCGTTGTTTATTTTAAATATTAGAAAATAAGTTAATGAAATATTTTTACACTTACCATAATTGTAGACAACATTTTTTGTAGAATCTTTAAGTATTTCTAAATGTTTAGTAGGTTCTTGTGTAGGTTGAAGATTTTCTCTTTGATCAAATTGACTTTGAAGTAAAGGTTTTGCTTGTTCATAAACTGTATCAGATAATCGACTTTCTATTGATCGATGTTGTTTAATAGGAATTATTTTCCCCCAATTTATTGGATTCTCTTTTGATCGATTATTTAATTGATAATCTTGTTCAACATGTGAACTAGTTAAATATTCTATATTAGGAGTTCTATCAAGTAAATTTTCACCTAATGTTTCATAAATAATTGGTTTATCTGTATGTTGTAATGTTTGAATTTGATCAATGCGATCATGATCAATAACTTTTGTCTGTTGTGTTGTCAATGTTGATGATGGAATATTTGTTGTATGTTCAAATATATTTAGTTGTTCATCACGAACAGGTCGAATATTTGAATTTGGATCAATTTCAACTTGACGTAAAAGATCTAATGCACGTATACGTCTTTGATAATAATCATCTTCACGTAAAGTTTCTAAACGTTCTTCATCAGATTGATCTAATCGATGCATACGTGATGCATTTAATATCATTGGTTGTTCACTTGCCTGTGATGTGTTTAATGAAACAATACCACTATCAACTGGTATTTGATTTAATTTATTTCGAGAATATTGATGAATATTTGCTGTTGAAATATTTTCAAATACTGAAATATCTTGTTCAACTCTTGCCATATGTTCAGCAATAGGAGCTATTAATTGTGTACGTTGACGTTGTATTTCATCATCAATATGACGTGTTATTTGTTCATTTTGTTCATCAGATAATTGACCTACATAAGCAGCAGCTAATAAAAGTGGTTGAGGATCAATATTATGCTGATGTTGAGTTTGCTCAGGTGTAAGAATAACCATAGCATGATCATAATCATGTGGAGGTATTTGAAGACGTTGAGCTTGTTGTGCTAATAAATTTAATTCATTTATTTCACCTTGATTTAATGTTAATACATGTTTTATATTAACCATAGACAAATCATAATTGCCTGATGCACTTTCAACGCGATCAGCATGAAATACTGGAACTTTTTCAATATTTGTCGGTGAAGTATAAATTTTAGTTGGAGAACGACGAGGTGATATTTCTGTAGTATCTGCCGGTGTAATGACCTACAGTTAAAAGAAATTTTTTTTTTCTTTTATTAATACTTTCAATCATTTGTGTGTCAAAAGTAAAGTTATGAGTTTGTCTACTCGTCTTTTGTAGAACTCATATCATGTTTTGCAAACAAAAATGATGAATGTAAAAGCTAAGCCGACGTTTTGTAGTCTTGTCTCTCATAGAAACGAAGGGAAAGGAAAAAAAGACTAAGAGTCACTGAGTACAATTTCATAGTAACCGAAGATAACACGCGTCAGCTGCCTCTTCCAAGCTTCTTTAGCAACAGAAAAAAGTGCTGAACTGCTCTAACAATCAGACTTTTGAGGAAATCTTTTCAAATCCCTGCTTCTTGTTTCAATGATTCTTTTTGCCTATGAATAGTAAATAGTATTCTAATAAAAGCCTTTACAAGATTTGGATTCCTATTGAGATTACGCCAATCTATTGAATGTTGGCCCTAAGCTTTGTACATATAGAGAAATCATCTAGACCAGTTTCTATAAAAATTCAAAAGTTTTGAAAAAGTTTCGTCGAAATATGATGCTTTCAAAAAATCCACGTTGTATACATTATTCATGAAAAAGTGTTCATATCTTGAAAGTCTCATATCTCGAAGAGACTTTGTTCGAAACTTCTGAATTTTTTTATAGAAATGGGTCTAGTTGATTTTTGTATATGCACAAAGTTGAGAATCAAAAATTGAAACCATAAGTTTACCGAAAATCTGCAGCCTCTAGAAAAAGAAATCGATAACTTGGTCAATTCCAAATCCTTTCTAGTTTTTATTAGAACATTATGCAATATCTAAAGACAAAAAAATCATTGAAATCGAACCGAAACATCTGAAGAGAGTTTCTCATTAGACTGTTCTAGAATATTCCCAAGTCTACCTCGAAATTTAAACGACTAAAATACGTTTGTCAATATTAGAGCCCATGGACACCCAAAATTTTCGAAATCCAAACCCTGTTATCTGACTTTTTTTGTATTCAATTGCGAGCATATCCTAAGTATTTTTCAGACAACTAGGACTCGTTGGATCCAACATTTTTGGACTCGAATCCGACTTGGCTGCGTCTATATTCAAAATATCAAGGATGATGGGTAATGATGTATTGATTTACCGCAGTCATCAAATAATCAATATAAAAAACGTGAACTGATTAAGTTATAACCTTCAGTATCAGTGTTTCTGAGCTTTATAGATAGTTAAAATAATAGTTCCCATGTAAAAAAAACGCGAAAAACCTGATTAAAATCGATTTTTTAAAAAAATCATAAAAAAACGATTAAAAGTACCAATTTTTGATTAAATTCTAAATAATAATCGATTAAAATCGATTTTTGCTGCGAAAATCCATTAAATATCGATTTTCTGACAGAAAATCGGGATAATCAATTAAAAATTGAATCGATTCGAATCCATTACTTTTCGTAATCGATTAAAATCGATTTCTCTCTGGCAAAATTCATTAAAATCGATTTTTTTGTGGCAAAATCCATTAAAATCGATTACGAAAAGTAATGGATTCCAATCGATTCAATTTTTAAACGATTATCCCGATTTTCTGTCAGAAAATCGATTTCAATGGGTTTTCCCAGCAAAAAATCGATTTTAATCGATTTTTTATGATTTTGTTTTGAAAAATCGATTTTAATCAGATTTTTCGCGTTTTTTTTAACATGGGATGACAAATCAAACAATACTATTAATTTTGAAATATATTATAGCATAAGAAAACGCAGAATGAAAATAGTCTCCCGATTTTTGTTTAGAGTGTGAGTCTCAGGAGCTGGCTTACCAAATGATAAAGATGGATTATAAATGATTGTTAGTCTGGATACTAAATTCTATTCTTATTTCTCTACATTAATGAAAAAAACTACAGCTGGAAAAAGTAATAGATTTTAATCGATTATATATGTTCCTAATCGATTTTAATTGATTATTTACGTTCCTAATCGATATTAACTGACTAAAAGATGTAATTGCACAATCTCAATCAAAACAATTTAAATGCCGGTTCCAAATTTACTATGTTTGTAGAGCTGAAGCCCTATGATAATTTCGAGATGAGCACTCGAAAAAAAATCATTAAAAAATAGGGTTCCATGTTCGAATCTCGAGAAAAGCGCTTATTTTCGATGCTAATGATTAAAATCCATTAAAATCGATTATCCAACACAAATCAATTAAAACAAGATAGAAGGTTAGAATATATTAAAATCCGATACAAGGTTAGAATATATTAAAATCAGATACATGGGTAAGAATCAGTTAAAATCAGATGTCAAGTAAGAACCGATTAAAATTGGGTGCCATGTCAGAATTGATACAAATCCATTAGGAATTAATAATCGATGAAAATTGATTCGAACATATCGATGTAAAAAAATTCCGGAAAAAATCAGATTTTAATCGATTTTTTTCTGATTAAAAATCGATATAAATGGTACGATTTTAATCGGTTTTTAATCAGATTTTTAATCAGAAAAATCAATTTTAATCGATTTTTTCGACAGAAACCATGGCATTTAAATCGATTTTTAATCAGAAAAAAATCGATTAAAATCTGATTTTTCTCGGGTTTTTTTTATTACATGGGTTATGCTAAATTCAGAAAAACGGAACATAAAAAAGAGATAAAACGAGTGAATAAGAACAAATCAAAGAAAAACAAATAGAGGTTGTTCGACATGCAGAAATAAATATCACAGGTCGTTTCTCCATCCATTGATCATCATTAGAAAACAACTATAGTCTGCTAGAGATTTCTCACTACACATGCTTTTTATTAGTATAATGAAACTAAAGAACACATATGAGTTCCACATTTTAATCTCAACAAGACTACTCTGACAGACTTCGTTCTTCACTATCGAAATGAGAAAAGAAATAGTACAGAAACATTTGTATGAGATAGATGAAATTGATATGATACTGCTTTTTTTGTTGTATGTTTTACCTGAGTAGCTTTTTGTAGATTTGGCTCATAATCAACATCTTTGAAAAGTATTTGTTGTGAAGTGGTTAATGCACGTTCAATAAGACCATCTGAAGGTGGTTCAACAATATTACTGTGAGCTCGATCTTTGCGAATATAAACATGAGTGCGTTCAACAAAATCTGGAGGAGGAACAGTTAATACATGAGGAGTTTCATATTGTTCTGTTGTCTTCGTTGTTATAGTTGTTGGTTTTGGTACTGGACGTTGCTTAACAGTTGTATAAGATGGTGGTGGAGAAATAATACCAACATGATGAACAACATCAGCACTACCATCATCAGTTAATGTTCGACGTGCACGACCCGTGCGAATTTTTTGTCTTTGTACAACTGGTGGTCGAATAACGATTAATTCATTACGTGAATCATTATCAATTGATTGAATACCTGATCCATTTATATGAAGAATACTTGTAGAAGTTAAATTTGATGGACGATGTTGACGATCAACTACGGGAGTTTTAGCAACTTCAATTATTGGTGGTTGAGAATATTTAACTGCAGTACTAAAATTTATGTCGGATGTATACATTGGTGGACTACCAATACCTAAAATTTACATTAGAAAAAAGAATTAAGATCATAAACTATAAGATAACCTTGGTTTTTATATACACTTATATAAATAGATCGTTATGAGGGATATATTTAGAAATGAAATGTTAAATTAGCAGTAATGTTCTAATGGCTACATGAATTTTAACATAAGCAGAAGAATAGAAAGAAGAGTTTTAATTCAAATTGTGACCTTGGGGATAATTTTGTCAATATAAATGATGCTACAAAAGTTCGATCAATAAAACAACATGAATAGCTCATTAGTCGTTCTAACAATTTACATTGTTTTTTCATTGTTTGATTCAATATTTATAGAAGTTTTATTTCATATATTTCTAATAAAACCTTTGCATCTATAGAACTCAAAATTCAAATAACAGGTGACCCATTAAGAATGGATCTATTAGTTTTTTTGCATATATTTCGATAGTATGAAAACGTGAAAACGCAAAGCTTTTTTAAACGATGCGGTCATGTCTAAAATTCAGAACTTTAAAAACAAAACTTTTTGTCAATTTTTGTTCTAAGCACCTTAGCCCTTCAGTAAGTCATTTTGACAGTCTCTCACTAGATTTCAGTCAACAAACGATAACAGCATAGGACTAATTAAATAAATATTTAAAAAGTTTCAAAGTTGATTTATGGGTCTCTGAATAAACATTTTTGTTAACACACGAAAATGTATGCAAATGTTAATGGCTATTCAAATGTTAAATTATGAGTACGATTTTATGCTAAGTTCTGGAAATCTTCATAAACTTAAGCATATGTATATCACGACTGAGAACTCAATGCATTACAAGAAACATGTTCACATACAGAACATTTATCAATCATCTTTCGAAATTATAGAAAGCTTTGATAAATCTAAACGTTACACATATCTACATGACCCATCTGTCACTTTCACTCAAGCTCAAATTTGAACAAGTCATCATTATAAAACCAAACTTAAAAATTGCAATTGAAAAAAAACATGTCCACTGAACATTGCATTATGATCACATTTGTGAAATCAGCACTATTGATGACGTTCTGAAAGATATCGAGTAATTAATAAAGAAAAGTCAATAACACTTATAAAAATGAGCCGTGATCAAGTGTTTGGTCTATATAACTCTTCTTCATAGAATGGTTGAGCGAATAGTGTATACGGACAGAACACTTGATCATGAATCAATTCAACAACTGTCATTAACTTTTCTTCACTAATTATTCTAGTTTTTTCAGAACATCATCGATTTTCGACAGTACTGACTTCACAATTGAAGTGTTAATGCCATATTTAGTTAGCGTGTTTTTTTTTCTAAATTCAATCTATAATTTTCGTTTTATAATGATGACTTATATGAATTTGACCTTGAGTGAAACCACTTTAATTCTGACTTACACAGGTGCAATGATTTTATTTTCAATATATTGAATGAAGCTTTTATTACCCAAGCAGACAAACATTTTCAAAAACGCGTTTAAACGCACAAAAAAGGGCTTAAAATCCATAAAAAGTGGACTTGTTTTGCTCACAATTGCGGTTCCCGGCTGTCAGCGAAAAACGACCACTTTTTGCCCTTTTTGTGCGTTTAAACGCGTTTTCAGCAAAAAAAAACGGTGATAAACGCGTATAAACGCATAAGACGATCGTAAAAAGTTGTCATCTTTTTTATACTCATAAATCACAATCATAATTACAATCACAGTTCACGAAAAGGAAAAAGATAACTACTTTTTATGTTCTTTTTATGCGTTTATACGAGTTTACAATCGTGTTTTTGCTGAAAATGCGTTTATACGAGTTTACAAGCGTGTTTTTGCTGAAAATGCGTTTAAACGCACAAAAAGGGCAAAAAGTGGTCGTTTTTCTCTGACAGTCGGGAATTGCGATTGTGAGCCAAACACGTCCACTTTTTATGGTTTTTAAGCTCTTTTTTATGCGTTTAAACGCATTTTGAAAATGTTTGTCGGCTTGGGTAGTATCAGATAAAACTGTAAAAAAGAATGTAAATTATTTGAATCCGATTTTCGGAACTTGCTGCAGAACTTCAACTATTTATCTACTAATATATGTACGACTGATCTAATCGGTAAGTATCTATATGAGTTTTATTCATTATCACAGAGAATACATCCTATTCCGCGATGTTGAACATTGCGGAATCAGTTCCTCCCCCGGAACCGGTTCCATCCAATTCCGGGAACTCGATCATCATTCAATATAACACATCGACTCGTCACTGACCGAGTTCCATCCGATTCCAGAATTCCGGCAATTGCTTCCAATTCCGGAATTGGTGGAGATTCCATCTCCACTCAATTCCCGAAATTCCGGAATCGGACGGAATTCCGTGCAATTCCGTCCGAGTCCGCGTAATTCCGTCTCGACTCAATTCCAGGAATTCCGTAGCGGAATTACTTTTCGCCTTCACCCTCACGCATGATATTGTGACTGAAGATTATCATCTCGCATAAGTAAGTAATTCCGATACGGAATTCCGGGAATTGAGTCGAGAGGGAATCGCACGGAATTGGACGAAATTCCGTCCGATTCCGGGATTCGGGGAATTGATTCCAATTCCG